TTCCCTCGCTGAAGCAGCCGGGCCTTCGTTCGAGTGTCATTATTATTAACCGCGGTCAGTGACCGGAATGTTGCGTTACCGCGTCACTGCTTTCACTCGCGGATACCACGACAACCGCATTCGAGGTAAGCGGCGCAATATATTTACTTAGTCATTGAGTTGATGAAGTAGTTATTGAGTTACTTACATTGTAATATATTTCTTTTTTCAATAATATTTTTAATATAATTCCTTAATTTATATAATCCAGCATAAAACCTGTCGCAAAATTCTGTGCCTTTATAATTTGTGTAAAGGTCGGTACTCGCCTGTGGCCGTCAGCATACGATATCTTTCACCAATGTATTATCAGTTTTGTGCTATTATGCTAATGTATGATTTGGTACCAGAAAATTAGAAACTCGATAGTTTATTCAACACGTTCGAGAGAAGATGAGGTAAGGTTGCTGTGCTCGAGGTTGTGGGCCACTTTGTTTTTTTTTTTCGAGGAAGTCATTAAAAACTCACAGGGTCGTCTATGCATGCGCCTCATTCCACTCCAAAGAAAAAGTTGTCTTCTTCGTTTTCTTCTAACTCGGTGCATTTAGTGTTTCCTGGTGTGGGCGCACGCATCGAGGCGCACTACAGATGCACTGAACCTCCCGCGCCCCCCTTCCAATAGCGTTCCGCAGCTAACGTGCTTTTGTAACGCCTCCGAGATCGAGGTCATGTAAGATTTCGGCACTTTCTTTTTTTTGAACTGCTTCCGAGATCGGAAAACCTTTGACCAAGCTACTCGACGTATTGTGGAAGCGGGGCTAGCTTGGTTTAAGTCAAGCGAAGTTAGATTAAGGAGACACAATAAAGAAACAACGGCTTGGCTTGGATTGATGTATTGTACTTTAAGAACTGTCATCAGTAATATCATCAAATTACAGTATCTTAGGTTTATCAATACAGGATATAATAAACTGAAAAGTTTACCTTTTACGTTCTGCGCCGAAATCTCTACGATTAGCGTCACGAATTTCGATGTGTTTATTTATCGTAATTTGGTGCCAATGGCTCAACCAAGTTTCTTCAAACTCTTTGTGCGAAGTCTATGGACACCTCAGAAGACATTAATTTGTTTTTTACTGACTATAAACTAAGTGATTCTTTATAGGCACCGTCAAAATATGTGAGGTCACGGCGAATGGTGTGGAAGCTTCGAGGTGGCTTGGCCACCCACGTTTTTTTTTTTTTGCGCATTTTGTCGCTTACGAACCGTCTTTTGGGAGCCAGCGTGGTGTTTTGTATTACTAAAGTATAATTTACTGAGAGGAGCAAAATCGTTTCGCTCTTTAGTGTCCCTTTAAGGGGAAGTGGTCATAAGTATTGCCGCAATGCGCGTAAAACACAGTCAGTGTCTCACCTGTTTTATGCGGCCCAGCGTTAGAGCGCTCGTATTGCAGAAATTCCGGCGTGGTTGTCACGTCATTGGTCGTGAGCAAAAAAATCATCATCTTTACGTGACCGAAAAACGAGAAAGATGCAAATGAAATAGTTCATTAAAATTCTTGCTCTGAGTGGTGACCGACCACGGGTCACATGCGCGGCAAGTGGGTGTTCTAACACAGAGCCACGCCTCTGCTTCTGAATACAGTGAAAGATACCTTTCTCTGCTTAGAAATGCAGTGAAAGTAACTTTTATGCTTTGCAAACATGTGCGTCCTGTACACATGCTGCACAATACAAGAAATATTGGCGTAATAATGCTTGGTATAAGCGTAAATTACCATCGAGAAACAGACCATGGGATTATAATAATAACTTCACGGCTTAAAGCCAGTCACCCACTACAAAAGACACACACGTTACTGCACCCTTAACACTACGTAGTAGGTGCATAGTAAGTTTACGAAGATTTCATGCACGAAGTGCATGAGACTTTCGCTATCGCATTCAACTCATTAAAGGCCGTTTCACATGACACAAAAAGTAGCGATCTTAAAACTGCGAATTCGCTCGCAGCGAAAAAAAAGGGCAGTTTGCTCCCGCCGCAACGGTCTGCGCCGAGCTTCCAACATGTTGGAAATTTTCGCTCTCATCGCAGCGGCGGGAGCGATTTTTGGTCGGGACCCGTTGAAATAGGGCTCGTCCGGCCAAGCCACCGAAATATAGTCGACGTATTTATTTTGGTAATTGCCGATGCAGTGCATCTTAAAATGAATTCAGACTAGAAAGTGTTTTTAAATGACGAAACAAGCGGGCCCCCTGTTACCATTCACGGTAACTTCATGATATCATAATGCACATATTATTACATTGCATTCGTGTCTGTCGCAATAAGCGGTGGCAAGAACTCGCCGCTCTAGTCGCAGAGCGAAAATCGCGGACTGTTCGCGGTCCATGTGAAACGAAACCGCCATTAGCGGTGGTTGCGAACAGAGCGATTGGAGCGAGCAAAACAATTTTTTTTCGCTGCAATCGCGGCATGTGAAACAGCCTTAAGGCGAAGTTTAAGGCGCCCTGAATTTTTTCGCACCGCACTATATTCACGAAAAGATTTACTCATGCGATGAATTTTTTCGTGGAAACATGCTTCATGTATTAAGCTTGTTAAAGAGTTGTTGCTGCTTTTACAACTTAGTTGTGGCTGGCGCAGCAAGGTGAAGTTGATTTTGAATTGTTAGGCAGAGTTGAGCAAACTCCTGGTAACCATTCATTGAACGCGCAGTACCATCACATGTACAAACAGATATCGAGGAAGTACGACATGAAATTGTTGCTATCGTTATGAGCTTCTCTTATTTAGGCAGAAGTATTAACAATCGTTCACCATTGTTCTTAAAAGAATTCAGTCTCGCTATTCACCCGCGCTCTTTGTTCGTATCATCATCCCGTGTTCTTTATAGTGGCGTGATCTCGGAGAGGAGCTTAGAGACTCTTCAAAGGTAATACTGTTTCGCGTCACTCGCCAATGAAAATCGGATAAATTCTTTCTCGCTCTTCATGACCCACCCCCCACTCCACTCCCTTCAGTTTCCTTATTTCGAACTGGCTTAACTACGTTTTCATCATTAACTATTCACTCGCATTAACGAGCTTCTGTGAAAGCACTAAAAATATAAAAGTACCTTGCGCAGTGATTTCTTATATTAGCAGTCAACGACAGAAATATCCATCTTGCGCAAAGTGAGGCGCTAAGCCCTCAGCGCTTTTTCGAAATATCCAGAAACATTAGAGCGGAAGCGCTTATAGGAAGTCCGCCAGCACTTCAAACGAAGAACATGAGCAATAATCTTCCGTGCGCTTTTGTTGGAAGCTCCTGCTTAGGCTAAGGAAGTTCGATGGAGTCCGTGACTTGACTAGAAGAGAGTTTAAACAGTTAGTTGGAAACTAAAGCGCATACGATAAGTGGAGATCGAAGACCACTAAAAACCTTATGGTTTAGATTGAAGATTCGAGGAAACTGTTAATTCTTTTTTTTAACGTGCGGCTGTTGCGTCTATTCAAAACGTCAATGGCTTTGGCACATTACTTGGAAATTAAGGCACAGAATGCCAGAATGTCTGTAATCGTAACAGTATTTGTAAACAGCGTAATCGTATTCAGATTCACTATTTCCTCGTCGGGCATTCTTTAGCGTGATCTAATCAACAGCATTTTTTTTCTGCTTAATACCCTTGATATAAAAATATCAGGTTGCCTGCTTCGAGCCGTTCATAAAATACAAGCAGAATGAAATTGTTAGTAAGAGTTACAAGCGCTGAAATACAGATTACCGACAGCGGTTTCAGCAAGATGATTTGATTGTTCATTGTCGCATGAACGATCACAAAGCCGCTCTTCAATTCAGAGCAGTGCACGGTGTAATTCTCTTCTTAACGAATGGAGACATCACGTTGTGAATTAAGATGGATGGCGAAGTTTGAAAGAAGAGTACGTCGCTAAAAACGATGAGGTTGCGCTCCGCCACAAAGGTGTGGGAGTCGTCGCTGTCGTCGTCATTAGTTGTACGTGATCATGTTTCTCGCTTCGCTTACAGTAATGTTGCGTTAGCTTTTGACTGAAACGTAAATGCGTATTTTTCAACATGCGTATCTGCCTTTATATTGATTTTAACTGGGGTCAATGCCACTAGCTTGATGTTTTCAAGCTGGCATGTCATATCGAATAGCATAGGGGTTTTACACTTTGTACAAGCTATACGGGAGAACGAAGCGGTAAAAGCGAGAAATAACAAGACATCTGAATATTCCAGCCTTCCGTAAATGCGTCATGGAACATACACGTGGGCTAGAAAACTTGAAAAACATTGCACTTAAACAATACTTGAAAATTTCAGCGAATGCGGGTTGGATACGCGCATTAAGTTGCATAAAGACTTGCGGCATTAGATCGTTCTGCATGGGTGCTCCGTGCAATTGGCACTATTGCTACTGTGTTAAATTTTCTTTTCGAGGGAGGACTATGTTAATTGCCGCCACTGATCTCAATTTACATGCGACTGATATCCCAGAGTTGATTAAGCCCATGGCCTGAACACTCCACGTGGCTAAAAAGCCGGTGAAGCTTCAATATCTGTACGCCAGTTTGTTAGTTGTGTTATAGAAAAGTATTTGAAGAACTCCTTCTGTCAAGAGATGCTAAGCTAGCTCAGATTACACTTAATTATCTTTTAATTTGTCTCATTAAAGACCATCAAAACTTTTCTCTACAAGATGACTTGCACACTGGAACGTTTGCTTACAATCAAAATAGAAGGAAATCAGGAAAAAGTGTTCCTTTTCTGCTCAAGCATTGCAAGTTGTCGTATTTCTCTGCGCCTGCTTTTTTTTTACAACCTTATCTACTCGGAAACATCTGCAGGATGAAATACCAACACGTTTAATTATATGCACTGATGAAAAACGACACAATGAAAGCAACGTAACTTGGTCGAGTTTGCACCATAAGTAATGATTTAGAACTTAAGCCCCACGTCCGAACACGGCCCAGCAGGTTGGTGCGAACTCCCGCAAAGTGTCTCCACTCACCGGCCTCGAGCGCAGCCAACAAGAGGCAGTGCAGGGCACCCGTAGCTGCCGACATGTGTGTGCACGTGGTGCGTGCTGGTAAGAGACCGCGGGGATTATCCGCAGGAGTAGCGCACGCGGGGTGTACTCCGATCCCGCAGCGCCACCGTGCCTCCTCGTCGAACAACGAAGGAGGCGACGAACGTGGTGCACTGCGTGGAGCGCAATTGCGCGCCTCGCGCACGGTGTGCCTCTCGCCAGACTCGCCAACTCGCCGCCGCACGGACTGCTGGCG